TTCTTCGAAATAGTTTTACACAGAATCATATATACATAACAATGCCAACAAACGTATCGGATGAAATATATGTGTGATAAAAAATATAAGGATGGCGAGAATTGTTCTAACGAGTCATGGAATAAGAATTAACTAATCGAAATGTCAGAAAAAAATTGGTAAAAATATAGACAAGTTCAATGCAAAATATACATCCGGACTTTGCAGTCTTCAGAGTGGCGTGGACTTCTTTGCTGACCAGGAAACATTGAACAGCTTTACACTACCAGAAAAAATAACTTTGTATAACGTTGATTGTGGGAAATGAAACTGTTGGTTTTACATGCGTTGGTGGAAAATCTAAGATCTAATCAGTACACTGCTAAGATTAAAAAAAAACTAAGACTAAAATTGACACTTAAGGAAGGTTGAAGAATATAACTTTCGTAGGTTTGTTGTACCAGCAATAAAAGATTGACCTTAACTTATGATTTATACATATGAACGGTGCACAATAGGACAGATATACGTAAGGTCTGCTAAAACAATAAAAACAAACCACACAGATAAAAATACCATTGTTTTCTTTTCTCGTCCATGTTTCATTTCCTATTTGCTTCCTTATATATATATATATATATATATATATATATATATATATATATATATATATATTCATACAAAAAACAAATACAAAGGTTAATGATTTAATTGGCGAGAAATCCATCTTCGCGAACAATTCAAATAATATACAAAAACCCCGAACCTGTTTATGCATGAAAAGATCCTTGTTTTATAAATTTCAGTTGCATAAGTGCTTATTATTTTTACAAGATTTCGTCTGTTCCTACAGACTTCCTCAGGTATGGAATAGATTTTGTTCTTGTTTTTACTCTCAGTAATAAGAGGACAACGAAAATAGATGTATTGTAATCCGATAAATGCTATGAGAAATGTGTTATTGTTTTGGAGCGAGCAGTCGCAACGCTGAGTTTGAATGTAAATTTTAAGGTTGTGCGCTCTTGTACAAATATGGTGATAAGCGAATTCTTTTTTACTGGTAAATTTTCCGTCAAAGTGGCATGAACTATATTGTTCAATAATTACAGTAATGTCGCACTTATCCGAAATTTTCACTTGGATCAGTTATTTTAATTTCAATAAAGGTGCAATTAATTTACAAATTCATGAATTATTCATACAAAAAACACAAACATATATATATATATATATATATATATATATATATATATATATATATGTGTGTGTGTGTGTATATATACATATGTATGTGTGTGTATATATATATATATGTGTGTGTGTGTGTGTGCGTATATATATATATGTGTGTGTGTGTGTGTGTTTGTACAATTATAGGATTGATGAGGACGGTATAAAATTCCAATAACCAAAGACACTATTCTTTAAAGAGGACTGAATACAGAGTAGAGCAAATAGTATTTATTAAAAAAATTATAACATAAATATATTATAACATCCCTAGTAAAATAGCCATTTTGTTTCAACCCTTCGGGTGTCTTATCAAGTGATGTCATTGATTGCAAATTAAAGAGTTTTTTTGGAAAACTTAAAACCAAATCAAACCCCCTCAATACGGTATATTCTAAATACAAACCGTTAATTGATTAAAGTTAATCTCAGATCAAACCAAAAATCAATATGAAATAATTAACCTTTAATATAAGATAAAATTAAAAATCAGAAATTTCAAATGAAATCGAGCATTAGGTTTAAAATATTATAAAGCTATTTAAAGATGGAACGGAAGAAAAAAAATAAAATATAAATTATCATTATATTTATTTATATACATACATATTACATATACATACATACATACATACATACACACACACACACACATATATATATATATATATATATATATATATATATATATATATAAAACACTTAAACACTAATATTCCATGGTCATAATTTATTCCACAAATCATCAGACCTACAAATTCAAAATGAAACAAAAAAAAAAACAACTCCGGAAATCAAAACAGAATTTATATATATATATATATATGTCTGGGTGTGTGTAGTACATATATATGTTTTGTGTATTAGTATGTATTTTTGAACATAGAAATATTTGGTCCTTGCTAAATTAACAATCATTATATTCATCTTCTCCTAACCTGTAGTCGATACTAATTTTCTCAATTAAATTCTGTAAACACAATTATATTTTCCTTTCCCATCTCTCTCCCCCACCTTTTCTTCTTTTTTTTTTTCCTAATTTTCTATGGTTGTATATGTCAGAAATGTCTGATGCATTTTACGTCGACTTTCTTTCTACGATTTAAATGGAATCTCTAAAATTCTCTCTATTGGGTTTCATGTCCCTCCTCCTCATACTTACACTTTTTCTAAATTCTGTTTTATTTCGGAGTTGTTTTTCTGTTTTCATTTTGAATTTGTAGGTCTTTTTCGTATTTACGATTCCAATGGAATAAATATGACCATGGAATATTAGTGTTTCCTTTTTTAG